TAGAACGGTGCAAGGTTGGTTTTGATTTAGTCTTTACTAGATAGAAATTTTTGTACTCTCTCATTTGTAATTTGTAATTTTTTTACCTTACTTTTAATAAAGATTGTGCAAAGCTACCGCACGTTAAAATAAAAAAAAAAAAAAAAAAAATTTAGTTTGACAATAACACACTGTAATGTGATATAATCGAAGTTTAATAAATTTATACAATAAAATTTTATTTGAAGTTCATATAAATATTAGATTAAAATGAAAAAAAAAAAAACGGAATATTCAATTTTTAAAAAAAAATGTCTTGGAGAAGTGATATTCGTGTTATTATTGGTTTAGGTACACTAAAATTTTATTACCTTTTTTTTTTACATTTTAAACGTTGGATAAAATTTTAATTTATTTTCAATAGATTTTGGTACCACTTTCTCAGTAAGTAAAGTTTGATTAATCATCGAAAAAATATAATCAATAATTGAAAAAATATTACATTTTTTACAGGGATTCGCTTACTGTCACATATCAGACGCTAACGATATCTGTACAAATGATAAGTGGCCTGGGGAAGCTGGTCAATTGAAGACAAATACAGTACTCCAATATGACTCTAGCTTTACAAATGTTGAACAATGGGGAAATCCAGCATTATCTAAACGACCAAATCGAAGGAATAAAAAAGATTCGAAACCTATTGAATTGTTTAAATTACATCTGGGCAATTTACAGGAACATCTTAGACCTAAACTTCCGGTTAATTATAAGAAAGCGATCACGGACTACCTTCGTGAATTTGGAAAGGTAAGAATTAATTTACGTCAATGCATAAAATAAAATAAATAATAATTATGATATAAGCTATTGCAAATTTGTACTTTTAAAAATATTCCCAATGATCTAATATAAATTATTCTTAGCTAATCAATGTAACGATTAATGAACGATGGAATGGTATTAACTTTACCGAAAATGTTCTTTTAGTTTTCACCGTTCCCGCTGAATATACGGAAAAAGACAAGGCTATAATGAGAGAATGCGCATTTAATGCTCAATTAATTGGAGATAAAAGTTCGCAAAAACTACAATTTACTACCGAACGTATGTAAAAAAAAAAAGCTTTAGAGGATAACTTGCAATTTAATTCAATTATTTCTTTTATTTCAGCCGAAGCAGCAGCGCTTTATTGTATGGAAAATAAATTAAAGGAATATGATTTGTTAACTACAGGAAGTAAGTTTTGAAGATTTTAATTAAATAATTAAATGTTAAAAATAATTAAAATAAATTATTATTTTTATTTTTTTAATTTCATAGCGACTTTTATGATCGTTGACTGCGGCGGAGGGACGGTCGATTTAACCACTCGCAAGCTAATTGGAACTAAAGAATTGGGCGAAATCACCGAACGTATTGGAGATTTTTGCGGAAGCACATTTATTGATACAGAATTTGTTGAATTTTTACGGGGAAAACTCGGAAGTCATGCCATAAAATTATTAAAGGAAAATAATTATGGTCAATATCAATATATTGTTCAAGAATTTTGTCGACGTGTAAAAAAACCTTTCACGGGAGAGGATACAGGATTTCTTTATGAATTAGATATTGAAGAAGTTGCTCCAGTTTTATTACAGTATGTTAATAAAGAAATCAAAGGTCTTATGGAAGATAATGAATGGTTGATCGATATCAAATATAACGACGTAAAAAAAATGTTCGATCCTGTTATTGATAGAATTATTCGTATGATACATATACAACTTTTAAATAATCAAGAAACGTGTTCAGCAATGTTTTTAGTTGGAGGCTTTAGTGAATCAAAATATTTACAAAAAAGAATCAGGCAAGAATTTCAACATAGAGTAAAAACGATTTCAGTTCCTAACCAACCCATAGCAGCAATTGTTCGTGGAGCAACTATATACGGATTAAGTTTAAAAAATTCTTCTAATACAGACAAAATGAATAATCTCAAGTTCGTCGTGATTTCTACTCGTAAATTGAAATTTACATATGGTGTAAAAGTTTTTCCAATGTGGCAAGAAGGAAATCCACCTCACCGTAAAGAAGAAGATGGACGTATCGCTATTTTTAGCCAAATTGTAAAAAGAGGAACCGAAGTAAAGGTCAACCAAGAATTTGGTTCATGTTTTGTTCCGGTTGATCCAAATCAAACGGGAATAATATTTCAATTATATTATACAACCGAATATGATGCAACATATTGTGATGATCCTGGAATGGAATTATTAGGAACACTTAGTATTGACCTTCCCGATATTCATTTAGCTTGTGCTAGACCGGTTAACTTTGGATTTTCTTTTGGACAGATGGAGATTACAGCATTCGCAAAGAATAAACTTAATGGACAAAACTTCCAAACAAAGTTCGATTTATCAACGGATCCTTGATAGTGTTCATTTATCATCAAATTCTAAATATACCGTGTTTTTTATTAATTATAAATAATATACATAAATTTGTTTGTTTAATGATAAAAATTATAAAGGTATTTATTATAAGTAACAAAAAAAAAGTCTAAATCTCTTCCATTTTGATTTAATTCAATTTCCTGTAGCAATATTAATAAAAGTCGTTATAATTGATGATGACTTTTTAGGTTTTGGGAAGATTCTAGCGGGTGTATAAATGTGTCGTTTTGACTCATTATTGAATTCTTGTGATATAATTGGAAAGTAACAAATATCTACAACAAAATCATCGATTTCATCATCTTCCCACTTTCCTTCAATATAATCAGGATCTATTTTATCGTCAGGATTAACCCAAACAATTTCAACAACTGGTTCCTGAGTTTTAGTTCTAAAAAAAAATAAATTGATTACTTTTTGAATAATACCTGCAGCCATATCTTCGATTTCTTGTTTCTTTTTAGGATCTTTAATTATACGATGTCTTCCAATGTCTTTATTCAATATAGGATGATAATTGTTAATAAATAGGTGTGGTAATATTTCTTTACCATTATTGATCATCATATCATTAAAACCTCTGTTTCCAAGAGCTCCAAAAATTTGTTGACGTAATTTAATAGGCAGTACTTTTGTTGTATCATCAGTTCCGGTGCGTCCTTTTGCGAAATATTCTGTTAATTTTATCAAATCATTAGCTCTTGCGAGTAAATTAGCCTCAATGCCATGCGGCCGATTTCCGTGATTTTTTAGATTTCCAAAATATTCTTGCGCATATACAATAATTCTTTCAATGACATAACGTTGTAATACTGCTCTAATTAAGGGTTTTTGTTCTTTCGTAATAACCGTTTGACTTCCATATTCTATCAAAAGGTTTTGCACTCCTTCAATATTAATTTCTAAATACCCTTACATTTTGTAATGTAATCTTCTAAAGAATCTTGTAAACTTAAAATATCATTTTTAAGTGTAACTGAATTATTTTCGTCATTATCTGATAATCTTAAATTAGTTGCAGTCCCAAGAGCAGATTGATATTTTGAAGCTTCATCTTTTAATTCGATATTTTTTTGTTCTAGATCTTTAATTTCATTATTTTTTTCTTCTAAAGTTTCATTTGTTGCTTGAAGTTTTTTATTTAAACTTTTAAGTTGTTCCTCGAATGTTTTTTTTTGTTTCGTGATTTCAAGGTTATTTTGTTCATTTTTTTTCTCAAGTTTTTTAATTTTATCACGTTGTTTTTCGAATGCTTCACTTTTTTCTTGAAGTTGATCATTTAAATTTTTTATATCCTTTTCGAATGCTACTTTTTGTTCTGAATTGTAAACATTACTATGTTCATTTTGTTCAAGTTGATTTTTAAGTTCATGAAATTTAAGTCTTTGTTCATTAAGTTGTTTCTTTAACTCTTCGTTCTCTGCTACGATTTTATTAAAGTTTTCTTCAAGAGAATATGAATTGTCTAAATTAACAGCTAATTTATTATCATATTCAGGTTTTGTATGGGCAAAAGAATGACCATTTATGTTATTCTTGAAATTGTCATCATTGGAAATATCAAAATTCTTAGGAACTTTTGAATCATTATCGTTCGATTGACCGGTAGGTTGAATATCTAACATAGAGTCAGAATTATTATCATTTTCTTCGGGTTGACTTTGCGTCATATTATTCTTTTTTTTTTTTATTTTTAATCTTTTTTTTTTATTTAAAAAAGAATGTTGAGGAGGACCAATTATGTTCGTATTTAAATACTGTAATATGTGATAAGAAGAAGTGATTATTCAAAATTTTATTAAAATACTCGTGAAACAATAACAGAAAAATGTGTATAATTTGGCGGTTCATTATTCTTACTTTTTAGGTCTAGTACAATTTTAAATCACGTGATTACATGAGAACCACCAAGTTTTTCACCCATGTGATTATTGGCCGGCATTATATAACTTGACCGAAATTAGCCATGTGTCAAATAAGGTGTCAAATAAGATTTTTCATTCCGAAAAAAAACCTTAGAATACATAGTAAAAACGAAAAAAAATAGTGAATTCGATACTGGGTAAATATTATTTGAGATTACGTGGGAAAAACTTGGTGGTAATACTAAGAAAGATAATCTTTCTCAGTATTACCAAGTTTTTCACCCCTACATGCTTCAAATAATATATTATCCAGTATCACAAGTTTATTAAATTTATATTAAAACTATTATAAATAAAAGATTAAGAGTAATCAAATATGTTTAAATTGACCAATTACTGGAATTTCTTTTTAAAAACTAAAAATCCAAATCTAATGATTTAAACATTACTAAAAAATTTAAATGAAATTTATTACTAAAATTTATAATTTACTATTAATTTTTATTTTTATTTCAAATTACTTATTCTTTTAATAGTATTATAGGCAAATTTTACTTAACAAAATAATTTATTAAAAATAAATACTTTATATAAATTTATAATGTTTTTCTAAATAAAATTAAAAAAAATGTAATTAACTAATGATTTTTTAAAAATAAATATATAAAAAAATTAAATATTTTTAAATTCATATATTTTACTATCTATTGGTCTCTAAAATATAAAATACTACTATTTAATAGACTTTAATAAAATTAATTTAATAAATTTTTTATAATTATTAAATAATAAGTAATTTTTAAAAATTAAAAATTAAAATTAATATATATTAATAATTATAAATTTTAAAATTTTAAAAATATTATCATTAGATTTATTTTAATATAACAAATTTAATAATCTATTTTATGATACTAAATATTAAAATATTATATTTTTTTGATATATCTAAAACTGATAAATCATATCTGATTAATACAACTAATTAATACAAATAAGTAAATACTATTTGCTAATTATCTAGAGTTTTAGATATCTGTTATAAGGTTAAATTACTTAGTAATAAATCTGAGTTTTATTTAAGTAATAATACAATTTAATGAAAATTAATTTTATAATATAACAATTTCCTTATATTATCAATAATCTAATTTCTTAATAATTAGTTAATCATTTTTTTATGAAATAAGAATCTTTATTATTTGAAGATATTAATACTTAATGATTGTATCATAAAAATTAATAAAATTAATAAAATTAATATTTTTAATTTTTTAACTTATTTATTTTTTTATTTTATTGCTAACTGCTAATCTATTATAAAGTAACAAATATAAATTATATAATATTACATAAATTACAAAGAAAAAAAATTATATCTTTCAATAAAATAGGTTTTAGTAATTTCTATTACTTGTAATAGATGTAATATATAATATTACACAAATTTTTAAAAAGGAAATATGTGTAACTAATAAGATTATTGAATAAAACTTAGAAGTTTTATAAGTCATTTAAATAAAAAAAGGTAAAATTTAGTGAAATTATATTAAAATCTTATTAAAAATCTACAAATTTTAAAAAAAGTAAAATTATACTAAGCTTATAAAAATATGAAGTTATATTAAAACTTAATAAAAAATTAGTAAAATTATAGTTTAGACATTTTATCAAATTCAAAATAAATTTAAACAAGCAACTTTAATAATTAATTTTGATACTTAAATTTAAATTATGAGAAATAAAATTTTCTTTTTTAAAAATTTGTGTAATATTATATTATTTAATATTTTATTTATATATGTATTCTAAACATAATAGTTATACAGAAAATTTTTTATTATATTTATAAATTTATCATATTATTATCATATTTTAATTTATTAGTTATATTTTAGATTGTTTTGTAAGTAATATTGTCTATAAACTTAAAAAGTGTTAATTTTTTAATAAAATATTAATTATTAAGTTATTAATAAAGTTTTTAATAATTTAATTTTAAAATTAAAAAATTAATTATAATAATTTTTTAAAAATTCTTAAAAATTTATATATAGATACTTTGTAGCAATTGTAGTAAAAAAAGAAGAAACTATCAAAAAAATTTTCAAGTTAATATTAAATTTAAATTTATTTTATAGAAAAAATAATATTTAGTTTATTAAGTAAAAAAATTTTTTTGATAGTTTTCTTTCTTTCTATTGTAAAATGCTTAAAAAATCAAATTACTTTATTACTAATAAAAATTATAAAATTGTTTAAAAATTATAATAATTAAAGTTATTTTTTATGATAAATTTTATAATATTTTATTATGATTAATATTGTTAAAATAATTTTAATAAGTTTGTTAAAAATTAATAATAAGATTTTTTAGTATCAAAATTTTAAAAAATTATAAATTTTAAGCTTATAATTAATTTTATAATTTTTATTATATAATTAAAAAATAAAAATTATTATAATATAATATATGTTTATAAAATTAATTTAAAAAAGTTTTAAAAGTAAATTGAGGTAAATTTATAATAAATAAGCAGATAAATTTATTTATTAAATAATAATATTTTAAAATTATATATTTATATATATAATATAAAAGTTATTTTTATAAAAAAGAAAATTCAAAAATTAAAGTTTAATATTTAGGAACTAAAATTTAAAAATTTCTAAGATTATAATTATTTATAATAAAAGCATCTTTTTTTAAACTATACATTATTTTTTTTTTGCATATTTATTGTATTTATTATATTTATTAATTACATTTATTAAAATTAATTAACTCATCTAAATTGTTATAAATTTAAAGATTTATTATTATATAATTTATCTTATAATAACTTAGTTTAATTTCATATATTATTTTCTATTATTAAATTAAATTACTTTAAATTTAATAGACTAAGTATAAAGTTAATAATATAAGATAATATTTATTACAGATTTATTAGCAAAAGTCAAATTTTTATTAATCCTTAACTTTATTTATATCTATATATTTTTTAAACTTAGTATTTAGTAGAACAAAAATGAGGGTTTGGAGGTTAGAAATCTGAAAAGATATTCAGAAACCTCCCAATATTATTTTCAAAGTCTTCTAGCTATACGAATCCTCTATTGAATTTAAAGCTCTAGCCCAAATT